ACGTGCAAGACAAAACAAAAAATAGTATACTAACTACTTTTACACATAAGAAACTATTTTTACAGGCTGAATGATAGGTAAGTGAGGTGATTGGTATGTAAATTAGCTTGATATAATTGTTTACATTGCACACATATCAAAACATCACATTGCATCTCATAAATGTAAACAGTTACGATTTTGTTTGTTAATGACAATATTAATTTTTAAAAAGGCTTAAGTATTTGTGTTAAAATATTATTAAGGATAACCACTACAAACATGCAACAATGAAATAGGTAAATTCTGCTTAGATGCAACTAAATTATACACAGGTAGAGGTGCAAAATTAATAAATAATAACTTTTTCATTAAAAGGTAAGATCCTATGAATATAACAGTAACATATAAAGCTCATAAGAATTAATGTGGAAACATCTGATCTCTTCAGAAAAATGTAAAAAATATTTGTGAAACATGAGTTTCTATAAATTACAATAGCATAAACACAAAATTAATAGATGAATAACCGATGAAAAAAGTTTGACAGCATATGTGACCGTTAAACATGACTATAAGTATTAAATTAAGTGTGGATGCAAAGCTAGGTCTTAAGTACAATTTGACCACATAATTTGTATAACCTTCTGAGGGCACTTTGGTGGTTTAATATAAAAACCTCAAAGTATGAATATATTTTAATTTTCATTCTGAAATTCTACCTCTAGAAATTCATCTGTGCGCTTTCTCTAGCAATTGTTTGTTATAAAAAAGGCCAAACTAAATATATAAGATGATACAAACATGCATTTGACTTGATGAAGCTATTTTTAAGTAATAGTGATAATTGCACATACGTTTAAAACTAGTAAGAATGGTATAAAATATGAATGGATGTTCAAAAACATATATTATGCATCATAGTGTACATATATGATTATTGTTATGATAATAGTTTATACAATAAGGTAAAAAAGCAAGTAGTAAATGTAAATAATGGAATAGTATTTTTATTTTTAAAATATTCATATAAATATTCAAATATTCCTTTAAAATATTAAAAAGAATTATCACTTGCTTTGAGTTTTCTAATATTTATCTGTTATCTTTTTTAATGATTGAAAAAATAGCAGGTGGGTTAGTTTTGTGATCTTTCAACTTTCATACATGCTACAGAAAAAATGCAGGAAAGGCAGATTTGTTTGTTCTTAACCACCTAGTTTTTTACTATTGTATCTTGACCTGTGCCAGTTGCTATTGTTGCATCTTTGTGTCCCTAAGGACACTGTCCCCACTGCTGCATCTTTACGGATTGTTACCCAAGTTCATTGCAAAGAAGACTCATTAGAAACATTTGTATGTAGGTCATTAAGGACCCAGTCATCTATTATTTAGTTTCAGATTTAGCAAATAAATCAAATGTAAACCGTAATAGTATAAAAGCCTCTCACTCTATCCAGAGATATCATAACATCAGTGCTTTGACAGTGAGATGGCAATATTTGAACAATTTTTATTTTCAGGGAAAAGAGAGCTAGAAAACATTTCCTAGGTGTAAAAGAGATCAAAGTCCTTGGTTGGAAAATCTTCCCAGTGTGTTGGAGATTTAAGGAAAAAAAGGAAAGAAAAAAGAAAAACTTGAAGAATTCTAGGCCCTCCCAGAACACCTGTCAGAGTAAGTGGGGACATAATCTGAGAGACAAGAACATCTGAAACAAGACTGTGCGCTAAGTCCTCTTCATGAAATTAGCCTTGAACACTCTTGTTAAAGAATCAGCAGAAGCTATTACTAACTCTCAGAAGAGTAAGTACCGTGGCTATATCATTTACTTTCACTTTTGGTAAATCTGTATGGTGATTTTCTCCAAGAAGCAGGTTTGATGTGATTTACCAAAATCGGATAGATGTAATTATTTGAATTATTAGATAAAAATCCACATATCTTTCTGAGTTGCATTTTGTGAATGCTGCTTTCTATAGTTACATAAAGTAAATGTAAATGTGTTTATGAGAAGTTATCTCTGCCTTGCCCTCAGTCATATCTTTAAAGGAAAAATAATGTATATCTGTACTAAAATCACCCAATATGAAAGTTTATCTAATAATATTGACAAAACTATTGTTAATCCCTTCACTTTTTAAAAATATAAAAGTGTTTGGAACATGCAACAATTTTCTTAAACTTTGCCTCTTATTAGCTAGGAGTATTAGTGAATGGAATAAATGAAGAGTATTTTGGAACTAGGTCTATTCCTGGAACTCAGAGGGTGCAGGAAAGAGTATGTTACCATGTAATAGCTCTAGGAGCTACTGGGTTTAGAAGAAATGGATTGGGGACTGTAGAAAAGCTGAAAAGAGTATCCTTTTCTTCAATTAAAATTATTTATTGTAGTTGTCATAGAGTGTCCATATAATTTCTAGGATTGTCACAGCTCTCCTTCCCAGTGATGGTGACAGAAAACCTTGTGGTCTAACTGTAATAACTGGTCATATAGTGAAGGGTGATCTTGGAAAAAGGTCACATGTTACATTAAATGATTTGAGTGTGGATACAATTATACAGTCACAGAGTTAGATGAAGAAAAACAGTGATATTAACTTTATAGATGATGCCTTGGTAAATGTATACAGATATTCTAAATAAATAGGTCATTCATCTTTGAAATTACCTGTATAGGATTTGTTATGAATTGTGCAATAACGTTTATAAAAATGTGCTTTTTGTAGACATTTTAACAATTATAGAAATCAAAGAGATACATAACAACGTCAGAAATTGGTTTAAAACTTGTGGGACTTCCATAAAGTTATTTTAATATAGGTGAAATATTGCAATAAAAAGAATTTTTAAAAAAGAGAGATTTAAAAAATTCAGTGGGTTGAAATTAAATGCAATTAAATGAAGTGCACTTGCAGAGATGTAAAAATATTTACAGTATGTTTTAAGATGAATAGCATGTCAAATACAGGCTTCTGTAGCTATTTTCTACATTTCGTAGCTCTGAACTAATGTTTCCACAGATTGGCTCTACTGAACCTGGAACAGTTGTTGAGCCTCCTCTGTCCCTCTAGCTGTCTGCTCCGTTGCCTGGGGACCTGTCTTGAATGTAGCTTGCCTAAGGAATAACAATCCATTTTTGGTCACCATTTTTAAAGGAATAAAAGATCTAAGCAGGAAGGACTCATAAGGGAACAATTCGGCAATAAATATAATTGTTGATTCCTTCATGCCTGAGGAGAATTTATCTTTACTGTCCTTTGTTTTGATTTTTGAACCCATTACATTATTAAGGGGCATATTGTTAAAGTATGTATAAGCCAGAAGAATGTGGTAAGTCATATTAATCAATTCTATTGACTCGAGTTGATTGTGATGTATTCAAACATTCTTTTCTCTTAATGAAAATTGTTTTCTAAGAATAATAGTGGTCACTGTATTTACACAAGAAGATGTAAAAAAAAGTAAAAAGAAATAAAAACAATTTATAACCCATCCAAAAAAAGACAAATAGCATGTAAAAATTTTGCATCCAAATATGTACATTTCTTGACCTCTGGTTTGAATATCTTACTGATAGATTTCTCAGGAAAGCAAAAATCACCATAAGACCATTTACTTGCTTGAGAGCATAAAAAAGGAGAGGCTAGTAAACAGTTTGGTCAGCATGGAAGGTAATAACAAAAGCAGAAAATGATACTTTCATGGTATGTCTTTATTTACTAGCAAAACTCCTGTTTCAAATGCAAAAAACAAAAAAAAGTTAAATACAGAGGCATATATAATTTAAATAATTAAAATCAGTGACAAAGCAGATTCAAGGTGAAACCCAAACAGGACAGAAGTTGAAATGTGCAGGCCAATGAATTAGATATATATGTATTTGCACAAGAATGTTTCTTACATATGGACTATAAATCTAGGATTGTGTTAGTAGTTTTGGTAGCTATCCTGGTTAAAAAAAGGCAACAGTCACCGATTTCAACAAACTTACTTTGTCAGAGGAGTTGCTAAACTGGAAATAACAATTACTTGTCATGGTAGCACAATGAGAAGCAGTCCACAGAGACAACAGAGATTTAGAAAACTTTTCAGTAAAAGTGATGCTCAAATTGAAGATCATAAATAAGTAGTTTTACACAGGCAGTTCTGGAGAGTATATTTAGCATATTAAAGTTGATTTTGAATCTGATGATAGTGACAGCAAGTTTTCAGAGTATTTTTCGTATTTAACTAAACAGACTGAACTCATAAAATAATTATGTTTTTTTTTCCAGCTGTATATCCTTGGACTGAACATTTCTTCACATGTGGCAAATAAATTGTGCATGAGAATACTACCTGTATTGTGTATCCTAGGGGACACTGAGTATCAATTACGTACTAGCAGAGAAGCATAAGGAGAATCAGAGGAGGGAGCCAACAATGTGGGAGCTGCATTTTAAAACACTAAACGAAACAACATAAACACCTGCTTGGTCATAGTGGTAAAATAAAAGATTACAAGTTGTAAATGGATCAACGATGCCTGTGCATGGAGCCCAAGTGAGTTAGAACAAATATAATTTTATCAACTACCAAATCTTCCAGGAAAGACATGGAAAAATGATTACATTTAAATATTCACCTTTAAAATACAGAAGAAATCTTAGACATAAAAAGAAATCATAATTTTGTTGAAACACAACACATTGTGGATCAAATCTAAAAACATGGGAGAAGTCAGCAGGGTACAGATGACAAATGTGACATAAAGGAGGATATTGGATTGAAAGAATAATTATTTAAAATGTGTTTAAAAATCTATCACAAACTACCAAAACAATAAAATAAAAAACAGTTGAGTAGCCAAGCCCATAGAGCATAAGTGATATCGATCACTACCTGTAGAAGAAACTAGTTGTGAATTTAGTTAGTTGTCTCTAGTAGTCACTGTTTATTGCTACCTGGCTTTGATACCACTCTACTCAAGTAAAATGTCTCTAAACTTTACATTAAGATTGATAAAATTCAATAGTTGGAGATGAAAAACCACACAATAACAACCTTTATCTTGCTGGGACTAACAGATGACCCTCAGCTTCAGATTCCAATTTTTGTTTTTCTATTTCTTACTTATATAATGAGTATAACTGGAAATCTGACTGTCATAGTTCTGACTTTAGTGGACTTCCATCTGAAAACACCAATGTACATTTTTCTACAAAATTTTGCGTTATTAGAAATATCATTTACGTCTGCTTGTATTCCTAGATATTTGTACAACATAGCAACAGGTGACAGGTCAATTTCTTATCATATTTGTATAATTCAAGTGTTTTTTGCTGATGTCTTTGTAGTAACAGAATTTTTTCTTCTGGCCATCATGTCCTATGACCGCTATGTGGCCATCTGCAAACCCCTACATTATGTGACCATCATGAGCCGCCAAGTCTGCAGGAGGCTTGTTCTCGGCTGTTGGCTGGCTGGCTTATTGATCATATTCCCAACACTTAGCCTATTCGTAAATTTGAAATTCTGTGACTCCAATGTCATTGATTACTTTTTTTGTGATTCATCTCCTATCTTGAAGATCTCATGCTCAGACACATGGCTCATAGAGCATTTGGTGCTTTTCTGTGCTGTGCTGACCTTCATCACAACCCTTCTGTGTGTTGTTCTTTCCTACATCTACATTATCAGGACCATTCTCAGATTCCCCTCTGCCCAGCAAAGGAAAAGGGCCTTTTCCACCTGTTCGTCTCACATGATTGTGGTTTCCATCACCTATGGAAGCTGTATCTTTATCTATATCAAACCTTCAGCGAAGGAATCTGTGGCTATTAATAAGGGTGTGTCATTGTTAACGACATCCATTGCTCCCATGTTGAACCCATTCATTTACACCCTGAGAAACAAACAAGTGAGACAAGCATTCAGTGACTCATTCAAAAGATTGCATTGGTTTCAAAGACGTAAGAGAATGTTCAAGTCTAGAAATAAAACATTGAGCTGAACAAAAATCATTCCATTCTAAATCTGTTGTCTCTTCTTGATCTGTTCTCTATTCACATTAACTTTCTTTCTTTCTTTTTTAATTTTTAAAAAAATATTATCAATATACAATGTAGTTGATTTTTGTATCCCCTTACCGATTCCTCCCTCATTAACTTTCTCAAACATTAATAGCACACAGAACAAATACCCTCCACCATATAATTTCATTTGCAAGAAAATAATTGATTTAAACTTCTTGTTACCATTTTGGTCCAAACATTGCTAAATATTTTAATGGATTAAGTTAAAATTTGTTGACTGCCTAGTTCTTAACAATCCAAGTTTCAGAAAAAGACAAAAAAATTTGATAATACCCCTGTACTTATTAACTCACTAATAATCTTATATATCTAAATTGTCTTTAAAAGCACCATTATCAAGAAGTAACATGATATAATTGAAAAATAAACCAAAACATATGTATCTCCAAATAAATGTGTTTTAAATAGAACCAGAATTTGATATTTAGGATCCTGAGGTTTAATCATACACGTATACATATACATATACATACACATTATAAAATGCTGAAATTTTAGAATGAACAGATTCATAGATCATACAGACTAAATAATAGTATAAAGGTGAGAAAAGGCTCTTTTCTAAAATGATATGTAATTATAGTTCAATGTCAAATGCTAATGCAGTTGAGGAATTAAGTTATTAACAATGAAGAAAATTCAGTTGCTAAAATAGAATGTGGCTACCTTAACTCAAACTGTAGCTAAATTAAACAATAAATTTTGGTATATCATGGAAACTAACAATTTTAATAGAAATCAAAAAATCCAAACCAGCAATATATGGAACTCTCAGATAATTTAACAGGAAGTCCAAATAAAAAGGTATAATTAAAGTTTAAAGATTTTCGTGAAATGAATGGCTTATAGATTAGAACATAAGATGTCCATCAATTTTTCTCAAAAGAGCTCATAAAATTATCAAATAAATTTTGATACTGATAGATTTCCTCCCATCTTTGTGGGATGCAGGCCTAATGGTCTCTTCTGGTATTTCCAAGATTTTACCCTTGCTGTTACTTCTGTAAAAAATGCTCTTTCCTTCATTCTTCCATCTTATTTCTATTCTTCATTTACATTTCAACTTAAATTTCATTTCTACTTAAAGACTGTTTCTTTCTCCCCCATCACAGAGCACACAAACCCAGTCTAGAAAAATTGTGTATCATACTTGCTGTTCTCACATAAATTTTTCTTTTCTATAGCACCAATCTCACTTAAATTTTGTTTGTACTGTATATCTAAAATCTGTCATACTTTATTTTTATGCCCTGCAGTGTATATAAAACCTAGTAAATAAGTGATACTGAATACATTACCTTCCAGTAATATTGAATAAAAAAGTCTCACAACCCTGGCAAAAAATTATTTACTGAAGAAAAATATTAATTTCTGACATAAAAAATTATAAAAGATTCAAATTGATATGATATGCTATATATTTTAAAAAGATTTTGAAACAGGATTTAACTATCCTGCCAGATTTAATTTACATTCTGATATGACAAAGATTAACAAGAGTTATAATTTATGGGCAATTTAGGCCAACTTTATTCATATCTATAATATCATCAGTTTATGTAGTTACTTATTTCTCTCTATATGTACACGTGTGTAATACATATATATGTGTGCAGTACATATATATGTATAATATGTGCATAATATTATAATGGGTAATCTTCCAAGAGTCCCTGAAACTTGCCTTTAATCTTTGCTTATAGGTAGGCTAATTGAGGTGTGGGAATACAAAGTAACGGTAGTAAGTGTTGGAGCCAGGGTTCAATTCTGTTTCTTATGATTCCAGCTCTGTGATTGCTATAGGACATGGCACTGCCTTTTCAGGATTGCACACATAATTATCAACATTACCTCAAAGAACATCTTAAGGAAATATATTTTTATTTATAACACCAAATGTTTTAAATCATGAAAATGTTAAGAGAAACTTTCACGAATATAAAGATAATTTTATAATTGGACAAATTAACTTACCCAAAATTAACAACATTATTTAATATAATAATTTATGATGCTAAAAATTTCAATTACTTATAGAAAATGGCATACTGTATTCACTGATATCTTGGATAGAGGCTTTATCTGGAATCCCCCAAATTATGACTATTTGAAAATTGAATATTCATCAGATTTCAAAACAAACTCACCTGAGCATTGATCCAGGAGTCACTGATTTGCATGGAAGTGGAGAAATATCATGAAGCTTCTGCATAAGAATATACCAAGTGCAAAAGATTGTATATCCCAAAGACAATATTATTACAGCTTGATCCAGAAAATCTGGTGATTATTTCTCTGTAATTTTGAGTTCTAAAATACAAATTCTAACAGGAAATTCCAATTGCAATTTTCTCATTTTTGTCATTTATAATAATATCCTTGACACATTTTTAGAAATACAGTGTCTCACAGATCTTGTGAAGCTATAGATGTCCTCTGTAAAGTGGAGTTCAAATTACTGATTTTTCTCACCGTTTATTGTTTTCAGGATTTGAGCAAATTGTGGTGCTTCAGTGGAAGCAATAATATTCCTGCATTTACCTTGAGGATTCAGTTTTCCACTGTTGTTTCCCTAATCCTGTCAAGAAGACCTGTTGAGTATTTTTAACAGCTTTATTGAGGTATACATTTTAAAATATCATAAGTATTGACATATGGAAACACCAACAAAACCATCACCACATGAAAATAGTAAACATATCCATCTCCTCCAAAGCTTCCTTGTACCCCTTTGTAGTACCTCGGGCTCATCCCTCCCTACTCACCTGTCCCTATGCAATCACTAATCTGCTTTCTGTTACAATACATTAGTTTACATTTTCTAGAGTTTTACACAAATGGAATCATGCAGTATATACTTTTTTTTTTTGGCTTCGTTCACTTAGCATAATTATTTTGAGATTCTTTCATGTTGTTATGTACATCATTATTTCATCCCTTTTTTATTGGCTAATAGTATTTAATTGTGTGTAATTCCAAAGTTTTTTTCTTAATTTGCCAGTGGATATTTGGTTTGTTTCTAGTTTGGGGCTGTTAAAAATAAAGCTGCTATGAAAATTTGTGTACAAGTTTTTGTTTGATATATGCCTTTCTTCTCCTGGATAAATACCTAAGAGTGAAATGGCTGGCTCATGTTTTTTTGTTTTGTTTTTAATCTTAGCCATGCTGATGTATGTGTAAATGGTATCTCATTGTGGCTTTAGTTTGACTTTTCATAAATATTAATGATACTGAGCATCTTTTATGTGCTTAATTGCCATCTGTATGTCTTCTTTGATGAAGTGTCAGTTCAAATATTTTGTTTAATTTCATTGAGTTTTTTTCTCCTTATTACTGATAAATGAAAATTCTTTGTATTTTCTGGATACAAATATTTTATCATATATGTGCTTTGCAATGATTTTCTCCCAGCTTATAGCTTGTCTTCTTTCTCTTAACAGTCCTTATCAAATAACAGAAGTTCTTAATTCTACTTATGACTTTTAGTAAATTGTTCTTTCTACACATCATGCTTCCGGTTGTTATATCCAAGAAATTTTGGCCTAACCCAATATTATGAAGGTTTTCTTCTATTTTTTTTTCTGGAAATTTTATAACATTAAATTTTATTTTTAGATCTCTCATTTATATAAGCTAATTTTTGCACATACTGTGAGGTACTGGTCAAACTTTTTTGCACATGGATATCTAACTTTTCCAGCACCATTTGTTCAAAAGATTATCCTATCTCCAATAAATTGCCTTTGCATCTTGATTAAAAATCGGTTGTATGGAGACAGATCCAGTCATTCACCATTATCTTCCTTGATTCTTTACCCCAAACCACTGTCTTGATTACTATAGTCTTAGCGTAAATCTTGCAATCAGATAGTAGTACTTCTCCACTGTTGTCCACCTTTCTTTAAGTTGTTCTGGCTATTCTAGTTTCTTTGTATTGACATATGAAATTAGAATCAGTTTGTCAGTTCTACAAAAAAAAAAAAAAAAAACCTGCTAAGATTTTTATTTAATTGCATTCAATCTGGAGATCATTTTGAGGAGAAGTGACAGCTTAACAATATTGTTAATATTAGGGACAGAACATTTCTCTCCATTTATGAAGATCTTAATTTCTCTCAGCAGTACATTGTGGTTTTCAGTGTATAGGTCTCATATCTTTTGCAGATTCAATCCTATATTTTACATTTTAATGCTATTGTGAATGTGCTTTAATTTCAATTTTTTACTTTTCTTTTTAAATTAGTTAATTAATTAATTTTGATTATACATATTTATGGGATACAGAGTTGACTATCAGTATTTGTGTACAGTATGTGATGATCTAATCAATATTATTAGCATATTTATCATTACAAATGGTAATTATTCTTTGTGTCCCTTACCCAATTATTCCCTAACTCCGCTTCCTTCCTCCTTTCCCACCTCCAGTAACTATAGGTCCGTTCTCTACTTCTGAAAGTTCAACTTTTTATTGTGGTCCTTCCTTCCTTCCTTCCCACTTATGAGTGAGGACATGTGGTATTTTTCTTTCTGTGCCTGACTTATTTCACTTAACATAATTTTCTCCAAGATTATCTATTTTGTTGTGAATGGCAGAATTTGATCCTTCTTTGTGGCTGAGTAGTATTTCCACTGTGTAAATATATCACATTTTCCTTATCCAGTCATCCATTGATGGATGTTTAGGATGGTTTCATGTCTTGGCTATTGCGGATGGAGTTGCAATAAACATGGAAATGCAGGTATTCATTAGACATGATGATTTCTTTTCCTTTGGGCACATACCCAGTAGTGGGATTGCTGGATCACGTGGTAGTTCTACTTGTTGTAGTTTGAGAAACCTCCATACTGTTTCCCATATGGATGTGCTAATTTACAATCTCAGCAACAATATATAAGATTTCTCCTTTCTCCACAT